CTGGAATAAATAATTTTTATTTTTCATTCTGAGAAACCTTTCTTCAAGCCTACATTTCTAATTTTTTGAAGACATTCCATTGTCATTGCTTCATTTTTTCTTGACTTAATTGGTTCAAGTTTAAATATCTGTCATAAAGTGTCTCAAACAAAACTTTTTTTGCTTTTGCAAAAGTTTTATGAAAATTTGTCAGTCCGCAAAAACAATTATGAAAATTTCCTGGTCTGCAGGCCCCAAATGGTTGGGTAACACTGCTTTATTCAGTACAGTATAATCTGGCTGCAATGAATCTTGTTACAAGAAATAATCAATCACAACAACTTTTGTTCAATTCCAACAAAGCTATTCCCTTGTACAACTGGCTTCATTGCAGTGATATTTCACTGTACAGCAGTTGAACCTCAAAAACTCAAACCTTCCCAAGTTCAATTTTTTCAAGTCCATGATGTCTAACTTCCCTTAAAAACAATGAATTAAAATCCTCTGTAACTGAAAGGCTTTTCCTCTCAAATCTTGGTGACTCACATTTTCTTTACACAAGAAGGATAAAAGCGATTAACATTTCATTTGATGCATATTGAAAGGAAATGTAAGATAAATTGGGCAAAATAAACCCCTGTCTCCAAGTTCAGCATATGCTGTAAACTTTTTTTTTTAATGAAGGCCCACAATATTACAATGTCATGCAATTATGTTATCTCTCCCATAACAAAAATTCTTGTCTCTCAAACTTGAATGCTCCCCAACTTAAAACCTCTGGATAAATTGTTATTTTTGCTGCTCCCTATTGAAATTTGACTCACCAAGGTTCCACTGTATCAATTTACATCAAGCATGAGATATGCGCATAAAATACAGTTGAACCTCTCCAGGTCGAATTTCAAGGACCTTATGGAGGTTTGAGCTACAATACAAAGCCCTTTTGTTCTGGGAAACTTAGTAAAAATCCCCAAATTTGCAAATGATGATATTCTGGGGCTTAAAGGATGCTGAACTTCGGAGGCAGTTGTTCATTTGCTCAATTGAGTCTTTCACTTCATTTGAAACACATCAATTTCTGTTTTTATTGCTTTTTTCTTTCTTGGGTCAAGAAAATAATGGACAACAGGCCATAGAAAATTCAACTTATGGAGGTTTGAGGGGAAAAGCCTTTGACTTTGCCCTTGGACAGCAGAGAGTTCTTTCCCATTGCCAGCTGAAATTGGATTATTATTGTATGCTGGGTCCTGTTCAGTTTTCTGAAGGTCAGAAAAGCCCTTCCAGGTTGGCTGAGGCAATGTCAAGATTAATCCCAGAAAAGCCTATCACTTCACATGACATTTTTTCTCATCTATGCGCAAAGTTTTCTGCGTTGAGAGAAAAAAAAAATTGGGATTTTTCCTGACTTTGTCCTCAACTCCTTGTTGTCATTTTTTTTCTTTTCTTCTCTGAGGTTCAACAAAATTTTGCAAAAATAGTCCAACTTTGCCGCCCAAGGGTTAGGAAGGTTTATAATGTATTATTGTTCCTAAGGGGATTCAGATGGAGACCTGAACAAATTCGACTTATAAAGGGTATATTTGAGTTGGGGAGGTTTGAGTTATTGACGAGGTTCTCCAGTATATTCAAACATGGTTTTAAAAAAATTACAAAATAACGTACCGGGTTGAAAGCCGCCCATCTCGATCTTCTGCGTCTTGTCGCCCTTCCACTTGAACCCGAAGCTGCCGTACTTGTCGGCAATGTAGGCCAACACGACGAGGACCGGGAATGCGACAAAGGTCACGACCGCTTCCCACAGTTCCACGACGTTCGGCGAGATGAACTTGAGAATGAGGAGCAGCCAAATGTATGCAAAGATGGAGAAGACCGACGTCACCGTAAATACCTGCAGTCATAAATAATAAAACGACTCGGTACAGTGATGCACCTTGTGATCCAAATATGAACCGCTTCCAAACATGAAGGGGAAATATGTCGGCCAACGAACACCGACCTCGATCAAGTATTTAACGCTTGATCGAAGTCGTCCTTTTTGAGGGAGAAGACGATACACGCGCCATTTTCCTTGTGGCCCGCCATTTTGCCGCCATATTTCAAGAGAGAACTGATGTAGTAACAGGCGAAATTCCGTTACAATAATGCATTCTGTTTTGACGACTTCGTTATATTCGTATAAATCCCGATGGAAATTTCGTGGAAATAGTACTAAAACGAAAAATCGTTCACAACGAAGTTTCATCATGGAGTTTTTGATCATGGAAAACACCGATGCGTCCATTGAATTAAATTCGGAGAATTCGTTGTGACGATTTTAGTTTTAGTAATATTTCCGAGAAATTTCGAAAGTGAATTTGGAAAGTTCGTTGTGACGAATTTCTTTTTAGTAATATTTCCGCGAATTTTCCAAATTGAATTCAATGATGGACGCATCGGTATTTTCCATGACCAAATTATTGAAATTCATTTATTTCGAGTACAATTTGCTTTGGGAAATAATATTAATACAGGAGGACTCTCTCTACAACGAAATTCAACGGACCAGATAAAATCTCGGTGTAAAACTTCGCTGTATAGAGAGCCCTTATCCCTTTCAACGAATAAGGAGAGAATGCCATTGGACCGAAGAAAAAAAATCCGTTGTACGGAGAAATTCGTTTTATAGACATGATCATTGTAGAGAGTCAACCTTTAATCTGTAGACATTGTCATTCGAAATTAAAAACTGCAGTCAATCAATAAATGGATCTTACACGGCTTTTGAAATAAAAGTTTATTTTCACAAGCGGAACTTCTGAAGGGAGAATTTTTTTATTCTTCCCTATAACTTCAATATATTGAAAATACGGTGATCTGGAAAAAACAAACGTTAGGTTGAAGAGACGAACGCATAATTTATAGGCAAAAACAGGGTCCCAAATTATTCAGGCATTTCGGTGCAACAAATTTTTTTCTTGTGATTTTATCAGGTACTGTATATTGATTGAGAACTACCGCACAAAGCAATCACATCAAGAGATAACCAAGACAGGTTTCAAATTATGACTTCAGACAGCAGTAATTGTTAGCATTTCCAAATTTTGAATAAAATTTTCGATGAGATGAGATTTTCGAATTTTTTGAAATTTTCGAAGATGAGAAGCAAAAATAAATATAATTTCACTTCAAAAACAAATCCCCATTTTCCTGCAAATTTTGGCCTTTCATTCAAACCACTTCAAATCTCGAGAATTTATCGAGTCCACTGATTCTTCTGCAAATATTTCCTCTACTACAGTATATAGACTCAAATGCGCAAATATTTTCAGTAGCCTTGAAAAATGTCAAGCACTGTAGTTTTTTGTACGATTTCTGTTTCCAATTTAACTTTAAATATTGGTTTAATTACAGATTTAAAATATTGATCCAATCTGGAAATCTAAATTTCATCCACATGTATAATGCACGCATAGGCCTTATTTTCAACCCGATTGAAATAAATTGCATCTGATATTCAATTAGGATTAATTTAAAGAGTCCCTGTTCGGTCATTAGTCAAAATGAGTGTGTGAAAGGCGAGAATCTCGTGACCAATCACAAGGACTGAATTATGTCAGATTGAAATTACCAACTTCACTCCAATTAAATATTGTGTCAGTTTGAAAAAATGTCATTAATCTACATAATCGGGCAATTTAAACCCCATCCGGTGGGGATATAACGCATTAGAGATGCTTTATTTTTGTTTGAGCCAATCAAAAGAAAATTACTTTAGATATTACTTGGTGATTATTCTCATCAATAGAGAATCTATTGATTTCTTCCTGACCCAGTCCAAGCACCTGGGTATAAAAACCTTCATTCCTTTTTTAGAGGAAAAGTCAGAACCTAGTGTTAAAGGGCCTTTTAACTTTAATTACCTCATTCAATATTCTGAGCTAACCATTGATTCTGCCATCAATAAAACCATTTAATTAACAGCCAATTGATGAACTTGGCAATGAGAATTTATCAGGTATTAACTCCTCTGAAAAGAGATTGAGTTCTTATTCAAAACTTGCATTCTGATGGCTGCACAAATCAATCCCTTTGTCTGGTATCCAATGGACCTATGACATATTCGGCGTCAGACCAAGTCAATGTAAAAAGAAAAAAACAAAGGAAATTTATTTAAATGATCAATTTCCACTCACCAGGATTGAGTTGATCGGTCGTGATTCGCCCTTGGGAATGGCGACGATGCAAAGTGACGTGATGCACATGAGATTGAAAGCCGCGGAGCCCACGATCGTACCCGGGCCCAGGGCACCAGCTTCGAACCCTCTTCCTATGATTTCAATGCAGGACAGCAGGATTTCAGGGGCAGATGACCCCAGGGCCATCAGTGTCAAGTTGGCAACAGTGTCGTTCCATATCCTCACTTCAATCTCTTGCGGCTCGTTCTCTTTCGCTGTCGACACGTGGACCTGTAGAGGAATAAGTTAAAACGAAATCACCATCACTCATTCCTTTTTTTAAAGTTTTTTTTCTTCTTTTTTGTTTTGAAATTTATTGGAGATAACACTGAAGCCATTCCGAGGTCGCGATTTCCGTTTGCACGAATGATAGAATCACGACCTGACGAACGTTGCATATATGCAGTACAGTACTGTAATTCTATCCTGCTTCCGGTGGGGATATACCGGAAACAGAATCGAAAACGCGGGTATGCTTCAGCTGGATTTATATTTTTGTATATGCTTCGTAAACTTTCATCACGACGAAAAAATACATTTACACTCGTCACTTTTGCTAAAGAATGACAAAAATTTTGACCACATTTATTCTCGCTTTTTGTTAGATTTTTCTCAGAGAATACAATATTAAACATGATAAGTAAATGATATCATTCAAATGCCGTCTGATTGCGGTTTAATTTGAAAACTTTTGTGGACTTTACAGCTGAATAAGAGGTTTAGAAGGTAAAGTTACTGTGAGGAAAGGTCAATCTTTTTGTGGGTTTTATCTGTTCAACACCTGAAACAAGTTTCTTCAAAGTGTCTCTAAAATCACATTCACGCTTAGTAGAAGTTCAGAATCACCATCACAAGTGAGGTTATTCCGCTGAATATATACAATAAATTGACAGTATAAGTGTGAAACAGAAGGACAAACCCTCTGAAACACTCATTTTAGAGTTTAGACACACACACACAAAAGTTATGCGTGAACGTGGTACCGAAAGTTATCTTTTCATCGATAATCGCGACGATTACACAATGCAAAAAATAACGTAATTTCAAACATAATTAATCTAATCACAACATGATTTATTAATTCACCATGACAACTTATAAGTAACAGTTGTCGGATCACTCCAACTGAGGAGATATTTCTGTTTACAATTATAATCGTTCTTCGGTTTACCCTGCTTATCAGATGACTTTAATTTTCGCATTGCGAAAATTTCGCTCACCCAACCTTTTTTCCTTTCATGAAAATTGAGCAAAATAAAATCATGAAAAGTGGGTGAATAAAAAAAATGCTTGCAGCAGATGCCTTTGTCTTGTCCGCACCCACTCGTCATATACATTACACGGAACGATAGACAGTCGAATAAAGTGGACCAAATGTTTATCAAGGAAACGAAACCCATAAATCAATATCAGTCCTGATACTTTTGAACCCAAAATATATTTCAAAAACATAATTTCAGGATACAGTACTGCACTGTACATCACATGGATTTAGTATCCTACAAAGAAGACCTTCAAAATTATTTGGATATGCGAAACATGCAAAATTTTCGCCACAGAATTAAGTCATGGTCAGTAAGAATCACTTTATGTAAACTTCCTCAAGTGAGGTCATGGCGAACACAAGGTTCATGTTGAATGGATCCAACTCAGACAGCTTTCTTGTTCACTTATACAGTACTGTACAGTAGTTCTCCATTCAGTTTAGGGTCACAAACACTTTTTGGGTAAAGTACTTCACTAGATACACGGTGGGCCAAAAAAACGGATGCACCAAATTCGCAAACGTTTTTGTTTATTTTGAATAATTCATCGCATCAGAGGATTCGTAATTGTTTTAAGTTTACAAAGCTTTGTAGAAAACGCAGGTCTTTCAAAATTGTCTTTCAAAGATTGTTTCATAGAATTTCTCGCAATCATGGGCTCACGGCAAAACTGTTCATGCAAATATTTTTTTAAATAAAGCCCACTTCGACAGGAATCATGGAATTTGCAACTGCTGGAAATCAGGAATATTTGTTAGCCTTCTCTTCAAAAGTTAGAGAAAGTTAATTCAATTGAATCGCCAGCAAATGTTTTTTTCAAGTTCCAAAATTTTGCGCTGTTGATCGATCATTTTAGGCCGGATAAAATATAAAGAAGTTTTCATAGACCACTTCCCAGCAGTGAAGGAAAAGGAATTTTTTTTCGATTTGGATTGATTCGAACCCAAGCACGAACCATTATATCGAAAAAATTAGCAAACCGAAACTGAATTCAAGTCGATATTTTTCCGAAGTGAGTTTTACCGAAATCCTTCCCGAAAGATGAAAGCGTTTTGAATTTTTTCATTGTTTTCCATGCAGTCTACCCAATAAATAGTTACACAGGGACACCATCAACAATTGAAAAGAGATGTATACACAGTTGAACCGAACCTTGATAATACGAACCTCCCATTATTCAAATACCTTCGACGGAAGTACCTTTGTATATCAAACTTTTTAAAGTCCCTGACTGAATTCTTTTAGAAACAATGCATTCAAATCCTCCTTGACTCAAAGGCATTCCTTCTCAAAACTGTATGACTCGAATTTTCTGGTGGCTTTTTGAATATTATTTTATTGGCACAGGAGAGAGAAAAGCAAAAAAATTCAACTTATGAATTTTAAAGGAAGTGACAGACTAATTGAGCAAATGAACTTTTGCCTCAAAGTAAAGCATCCCGCAAACTCATTAAGGACGAGACAATTTTCATTCTTAGAATATCACCGGTTACAATAATTTCCTGCAATTCTCATTTATATCCCCAAGAACAGGGATTGTTCTTTCCCAAACTCGAAACCATCCTAAATTTACGCGGTTTTTTTAGGCTCTTTGAAACTCAACTGATGATGGAGAATGAATTCTACCATGGAATAATCATCGAAATAAAATGGCACTCGTTTTTGAATATAGCCTCACCTTTCTGGTCTTGGATATGATCTTGAGGATGGCGCACATGAAAATGTCCGCGATGAGTGCGATGCCCAGGAAGCAGTACAACATGGCCGTGAAGTACAGCCCTGCTCGTACCGGAATCGGCCACGTGTACTCGCTGACAATCGGCAACAACAAGCCCTTGTCGCTGCACGTGAAATTGTTCAGGTCATTCCTGTTTATCAGGTTTCGGTAGCTCATCTTGTCGCGTCTTCGTCACTTCCGGAAACGGGGGAGGAAAAAAAAACAACCCCGAAGGATCTCACTTCGATCAGTTCAGCGACGAGGAAAATAAAAATAATAATAACCCGGGTGGGGCGGGGATAAAATAAAGCGGAACCAGCACCGAGGGGTTGCTCGTCAACTTTCACGTCACTCGGACTGTCGTCATAGTAATACTCGCTCCACGACAGGCACTGGAAAATTAATTCAGAGCAAAAATAATAATGATCATTAATTCCTCGAAACAAAAGTGAAAAGTTGTAGGTTTCGGCAGCGACATATTTCAAGACATAAATCACTCATCCTTCGATTGCTGCGAGAAAGCCATGATTCTTCTGGCAATTCATCACAGCGAAAACCGCAAAAAAATGAGAAAAGAGGAACTATACTAAGTGAAATATGAAAATTTTAAAAATACACAAAGCTAATTAACAAACGCCAGTAAAATGCGAGTCTCTCCCTAAAATACAACCTGGGCTTCGATTACTATAATTTCTAAGACAAGCTGTTTAAGGTAAAACTCGTGTCTTAAAAAATAAATTACAGTACTCTGGAAAACTTCACTGGAACTTCAAGTTCCGCAAAAATGTTAATTTTCTTCCGTTATTCAAGTTGGATTCAGCAATTTTTCATTCATCCTCGCCCATTTTTCCTGAAACTCGGAATTTTCGCCCGTCAAAATGGCTTTGAAAATCAAAAACACAATACTTGCAAACATTTCCCAAGTATTCACAGGAATGATTTGACTGCTACAATACATAAAAAATTCCTGAACGATGCACCAGTCCAATTTTAGACAGAAATACCGTTTTCTTACATAATTTTATTTCACTACCAGAAATAAAAAATACTCCAGGCGACTATGCGACAATATTTGTTCAGTAGATGGAAAAACACATCAAGAACAAAGTAAAGTGCATTTGCATGTATGCCGAATTCCTGCTTAATATTTTTCCTAGGAAGAAAATGTGTCCAAATATATCGTATATATATTTTTTCTGATGACCTCGGAAGGTCGTGTTCAGCTTGGATTTTTTTTTTTCATTTTACGTAAAGTCTCACCAGGAAAGGAATCCAAAGAGATGCCAGGTCAAGGAAAATTACGACTCATCACGAAGCAATAGAAAAAATGATATTAATTCATCTCCGCATCCGGAAAAAATGAGGTTTTCCGGCTCATTAATCCTTTCTAACACTCAAAGAACGGTCCTTTCTACGACAGCTTTATGTCCAGGCAATATCTTGATCATTGATATCTTTCTCGCCCTTAGAAGGAGAAATGACCATCTTTTCACGTCTTCATGAGCCCCAATTGGGACTACACTCAAAGAATGGCCCTTTCTACGACAGCTTTATGTCCAGGCAATATCTTGATCATTGATATCTTTCTCGCCCTTAGAAGGAGAAATGACCATCTTTTCACGTCTTCATGAGCCCCAATTGGGACTCGAATGGAAATGGTCACACTTGGCTGCCAATTGGAAACGCAATTCACCGGTCGTGTACCTGCCAACGGACCTTGAACATAACATATGGTCACGGTAATTACGTTAATAATCATTCAAAGCAAGTAAAATGTCTTGAATTCTTTCAAAATTTCTCGTGTATCGAAAAAAGTTCAATCATCGACGCTGGAATCCAATTGTCAACAGGAATTAGCGCTAAAAATATATCGAAAAAACTTTGTGCTCTGCGTTTGAAACAGAATTGAATTTTCGTGTATGCAATTGATGAAATTTCCATCTTTTAAATTGAACCGGTTCGTAAAAGTTAACTCTAAATCACGTCAGACATCATGAAATTTTAGACGAGTTCTAGCCATAAAAAAGAAACTAGAAAATTTAAAAAATGTAAAATCATGTATCTGGAATTGACGAGGACAGAAGGGCCGAACGGAAAGCAAAAAAAATTATTTCTTGATTTCATCACACGTAAAAAGGCTGATTTTTTCGCGATCAAAAAATTAAAGGCACGTACGATAAACCAGGACGAGAATCGATTTTCGACACTGAGACCCCCATAGCAACAACTGCATTGACGTGCGAATGCAAAAAGACATTGACGCACATAATTGCTTTAGCGCGCCAAAAAATTGGCCAGGCGATAGTCCATCAACTTCACAAGAAACTGGGCCACAAGCAATACCCAAGCATATTTTTTCCACGCCATAATTTACGTAAACAAAAGCGATGTTACCGCAAAAAATAAATACTGTATCAGGGTTTTATTCCTTTTGTGCCATTCAGCGAATAGCTTCTTGTCTTTTCAAATCTAGGCCGTAAAGCAAATTTAACTTCGAAAAAAAACAGAAAGGATCTGAAGATTCTGAACAGTTAGAAATATTTTTACATAGCTGTAATTTCCTTCTCAAAATGAAAAAAGAGGTTTGA